TTGATCAACCGGGAAAGAAAAGAGCCCCAGGACAGACTTAAACATAATGATCTGCCTCAGCTTCTGTGAGGTGGTGACCATTATAGTAAGAAGTGTTGAGATCAGCCACTGGGGTGGCTGGTGCCAGTACCTTGATGAATGACTCCAAATCACCATTAAACAACTTAGCACTATACTGTGATCGGGGTCTGGGCTTCCTGTGTTTCTGGGGCTTAGGGGGAAGATTTGGAGGCCTAAGGGAAGGGAACATGATTACTGAGCAGGAAGAATTAAGTCACACAATCAAACTAAATGTCTGTAAGCTCATGGCAAAACAACAGAACACTGTAAAGAGAGAAATAAACTCAGTACTTCAAAAATAAAGACTTTGCATCAAATTTAAGTGTAACAGTGTTTAAAGAGTGGATAACTCCCCCATTAAAAACACATTACTTATGGATAAATAAAGACATTCTTCATGAATCCCTGCTTTGCAGTTTTATCATATACATTTATTCACTGCAGAATTGGAATGGCCTTTTTTTTTGTGGTCATGCATGAAATGTGTGGCAACCACTGGAATTCATCCTGCCAGCCATGGCAGAACACAGGCCACTCAAAGCACCTCTTATCAAGCAAGAAAGTTGCTTCATGCTGGAGAGGCTTCAAATGCAATTAAAGCTACTCCTATGATGTTTCAAAACCAAATTGTCTGCATTTTCAACTAGAGCCAGGAAGGTTAAACAGCTTTAGTCGTCCACATCCAACCATCAACATCTTCACACAAGAAAAGAAACACCTTGCTACTTAGCTAAAGGAATTATGAGAATATCATCAATTTGAAACAAATAAACAAAAGCAGCATAACACACAAAAAGAAGAGCAACAAGGCTGGTGAAGGGACTTGAGCACAAGTCCTACGAGGAGAGGCTGAGGGAGCTGGGGTTGTTTAGCCTGGAGAAGAGGAGGCTCAGGGGAGACCTTATCACCCTCTACAACTCCCTGAAAGGAGGTTGGAGTCAGGTGGGGGTTGGTCTCTTCTCCCAGGCAACCAGCAGTAGGACAAGAGGGCACAGACTCAAGCTCTGCTGGGGAGTTTTAGGTTGGATATTAGGAAGAGATTTTTTAAGGAAAGAGTACTCAGGCATTGGAATGGGCTGCCTTGTTCTATTTCATTGACCAAAATGAACTCCAGAACATCCTGAAGAGCAAATCTAGGATTCTGTTTTTCCACTGTATCTCCAAGTAGCCTGTCCTCTTAAGGTCATTGACTGCACATGTCTCGCTCTTTGAGGTCTCTTCCAACCCAGTTGATTCTATGATTGATTCTAACTGAAAGAGATTGCAAGAAATAAATATTGTTCTCTAGGTCACAAACTATTTTGTGAATGTCATGTCAACAGCTTCCTTAGTTCCCATGCATCAGCAGTCCAATGTTTCTATAGGTTTTTTGGGAATTAAAGAAAAATCAAGCTTTTTTTTTTTCCTTGAAACCAATGAGAACAGGAAGGCATAGTACATCCGGTGGTGGGACTCTGGTCTATGTACTACTGGCTACTTTAAACTCATCTTTGAAGATATCCTCTTTTCTTCTACAATGTAATTTTGACCTTGAAGAACATTTCTGTTTGCATGTCCCACAGTCTGGAAACTCAACTGAACCTTGGGGCAATAGGCAGGTCTCAGCTGGAGCTGGGGAGCTGATGCTGAGGAATGGATGGGCAGGCCCTGCTCCCTCAGAGTTTCTTTCTCAAAGTGACGAGCTGTGAGCAGATATGAGGTAAGATGGCTTCAAGCTGCTCCCCAACTTTACTAAGGTAAAGTCATTGCCTAAATCCACCATCTTCTTTCAGCTGCTCACACAACAGGGAATTTAGGATGATGCAAGCCTGATGAGAAGGCACTGAGCAAGGATGTAATGCTTTGAAAGGGAAGGAAAGAGAGAGGCCAGGAAAGCTGGGCTGGATGCTCCTGCTGTCACCAGGACACACTGTAACAGTGATACACACAAGTGCAGCTGCAAATCCAAGGAGTTTCTATTGCCCACCACAGTCTCATACCCTAGGGGCTGCAGTGCTTATCTGGATTTGTATCTGGAAGCAGCTTCAAAGGTTGGCATTACACAACTGAAAAAGTACGTGCTACACGAAGCAGGAAGATCTAACACTGTATCCCTTGGCTTCTGTGAATACATAGACCCATTTAAGTACTGAACATGTGGATGCTGGGGGAGGCACGCATTTGTGTCCAGAGCTGGGTTACCAAAGACACAGTCTATTGCCTGAACTGATGTTCCTACCAGGTTCTTCTGAACTGTGCATACTGACCAAGTGAATTACAAACTATGAGAGAAAGGCATCTCTAACAACTGAAAAAGATTTCTTTCCTAGCACCAAAATGCCCCCTGCAACTTCCAAATTTGATGTGTCATTCACGAATATTTTTAAGGTACTCCCTTCTTGTCCCACCCTTGACACTGGCCTAAGCAGTTCATAGGATTGAGGAAGATGAACATGTCTTTTACCCATCAGCATGCTGAAATAGGAATTCTGAATATCAAAACACACAGGGTCTGTACACAATTTACATAACAACAGCAACAGCAATGTTCTACACCCTAATGAAGTTGTTCTAAAATGATTAATTTCTAATATTTTTACCTAATTTTTAACTCTAAACCCAGTCAGATAAAAATATCTTACCTTGTCATCATGCATTCAGCCCTGTGACCTAGAAAATTTCAACAGACAGGAAACAATAATTTGTACATTTTAGGTAGATTTTTTTTGCATTTAAGTTACAGTTAACAAATTATTTTGAGCCCTAATTTTCACATTACCAGCAAAAGATATACAATTATACAACCAACAGGGCAGTGCAGTTATCTCTATCTTCACAGTTCTATTTAAAATACAAACACAACCCATGTTGTAGAACAACTTTTAAGAACCCTGCCCACACGACCACTGAGGAACACCACAGAGAACTGCAGAGAATTATAAAGAAGCAAATGCCATATTCCAGAAAGGTTCCTGCCTAACCTTTGCAGATCAACAGACCAGTAAGTCAGATATGTGAACCATGCCAACTCACCATAATGAAAAGCAAAACAATGAAACAGGACAAAGGTCATGGTATGACGTTCCAATGAGCCCAGTTTTCCCAAAGGGAGATTGTGCCCTATTAGTTTATTAGAAATCCTTGAACAAGTCAGCGGATAAAGAAGAATCAGCTCAATTAATTTACTTAGACTTTCAAAGGCCCCTAATAACTTTCCTCACAGGAGGTGAGTAAAGCAACTAAACAGCCATGGATCAAGTGTCAGAATATTCTCACTGATCAAAAACTAGTGAAGAAAAGGGAAACCAAATGGAATTAAAAGGTCTTTTTCCATCATGGCAAAAAATGTAACAGCCATTTACTCAATCCTTCCCATTAGGACCATTTATGCAATCCATAAGGCATTTATTAATGTCTTGGAGAGATCATAGCAGCAAAGGAGGCAGAATATTGTGCAGATGACTGAAATACTTTTGTATGAAGCCTTTCAAAGGGGTTAAGGAACACACAGTGACAAATGAAACCTACTATTAAAAGGTTCAAGTAAGATAATAAGGAATAATTAAACACCTATTCAGTGCACAGAACCACAGATATGATTCTGAAAATCACTGTGAGTGTCACTTGGGCTAGGTCTAAGTACACCACTCATTTGGAAAGTGACACCAAAAAAAGGTTGCCAGACTCCAGAAAGAATGAAAAACAGTGATATGAAAATCCATATTATTTTCTAATGTCCAGATGCACCCGAAATACTGCACAGTACTGAAAAGCCTGATCTGAAAATATAATTTCCAGTACCAGTAGAGTAGGGATCCCCTGAAGGTGGCACAAAGAATAAGCTCTGCGAAAAATCTGTGACATTAATAAGACATGTAAAGCTTGTAGGCATCTCTTTTAGATAGGTGAAAAAGAGAGATGAAAGAAGAATATAAGAACCAACTTATGACAGAGAAAGGGTAAGTCAAGGATTTTTACCTACTCAGGTTACCAAGGAAATTCACTGAGACTTAGAATCCCAATAGTAAATGCTAGTAAAACAGAAGATGTTACAAACCCTGAGTCTGGGGGATTTTAAACACATCTTTAATATTTAACAGTTTAGGGTAAAAGCTATCTGGGCCAGAGGGGCAATTTATTTACAACGCCTTTTTTCCTTTCTTGCATTTCCCTTTGCTTTGTTAATTTGTTCTTTCAAGAGATGAGCCTTGGGTCAGAATTAATATGCGTATTAGCGTGCTTCCCAGGTTTAGTTTCGATTTCATTTGAGCATTTCTCATTTGCTTTCCAAATCTGTAGATGCAGACTCAGCACAGAGCACTTCATCTATCTCCCTTGTGCAGATCACTACTATGTATCTGCTATGTATCTACAGCAACAGGCTGTAGTAGGGAGGTGATGAACCAGAACAGAAGCCAAATGCTGTCAACATTGTGGACACCAGATGGGAATCTGGATTTATTCAGCTTACATACTTATACTGTATAGGTTTGAATAAAAGCAAGAAAGGATGCCAAAGTAAAACTTGCAGTTCAGACAATCCTTTCCCTCCATTCTCCTCTGTGCTACTTAACACAGCACACTGTGTTATTTGTCTGCAGTCTTGATGACATGATAAAGTTCCCAGAAAAGGCAGTTTGAGGGGAGCAGGGGATTAGTTTGATTCCTACAAATTAATTTCTATACTAGCTACAGCAATAATGTTCATAATTCCACTGTAATTCTATCCTTTCAATCATCTCCATTCAAGGAACTTTCAGAATCCAGGTCCTCCTTCCCATGCACGTGCCTTTTAATGTAGGACATGCCTCAATTGAAGGGGGTACTTAACTTTTTAACCTGTAAGAATGATGGCTTTTGCTCCAAATACAAACTGTGGAGAGTGTTCAGGACAATGGATAATTCTTTGCTACGTAATTTGTAATACAATAATTTTACATGCAATAATGGTAATCAACAGATACAGAGCTATTAATTAAGTTTTCATTAATTTCAAATGAAATACTTTGTAGAAAACCAACATTAAATAAGTCTATAGGAATTTCACTATTGACATCAGCAAGATCAGGACTTCACCTTTTACCTCCCATAAATGCTCTACTGAGTTATTAGGCTGTAAGAAGGACATTCATGTCCATGTATCAGAAATGTTGCACTAGTCAGTCTATTTTAAGAAATGCATCCTGGATAATTCTGTATGCTTAAAAAATATGAGCCTCTCCCAACTCTTAAAAAACCCCTCAAGTCAGCAGAAACTGTTAGGATGTAGAAACAGTACATTTGTCATAGCTCTTAAATCAGCTTGCACTGACTGTGTCAGCTCTTCTTCTTCTGTCAGTTTTGTAATTATTTTTTTCCTGGATACCTTTGGCATTTCAGTGGGTTCATTTGTATAATCTGGAAGAACTTTTCAGTTTACTGTGTGATATTTACCTTCTCCAAGTGTCCTCTGCAGCAAATCATGTTTTGCTTGAAGTTTTGTGATGAGATTACTACCTTCCAGATATTCTCTGAATTTCTGTAGAGATTCAGATGAATCTATTACTATGTATGACACACAAATTCCAAGCATTTCTGCATAATGTTTACTTCAGGTGTTGGCCTGTATTCTATGAATGAGGAAACAACCAACATACCATAAAATAGAATTGCTCTGTTTCCTGCTGGTTAGCTCTCCTTTTTGCAATGCTAGGCTTACTCAGGTATGTCTCAGAGACCGTTGACTTCACAGACTCTGTTGAGCGACTGTGCTGGAAACACTCTGACACATCATAATCTTCAAGGGTGACCATATCTTGTATTGTCTGCAGGGTAGCCTCTGTTGTTTTCTTAACCTGGTATTAAAAAGCAAAATTTGCCAAATGCATCTCCCAAACAAACTGTAAATGTGAAAAGTTAGGTGTACTCTAATATATATCTATGTAACAGAAAAATGACATGATTAGGTTTCCTATCTAAGTTCTCTGCTTTACCATGGTCCAATCCATAAACATAGATGTACTCTTGTGTTAGCTGTGTAGTGCACTCAAGCATTTGTTTCCTGAAATCAGAATTGAAATATGACATGATTTGATTATGGTCCCTAATCTGGGAGGCAACAGAGATGATACAATGCTCTGGAGGGACAACTCTCCCAGCTGTGGTCAATGTGTCATATTGAATATGTACATCCAGGGATCTGGCTGCCCAAGCAACCTGTTCTTCTGAGAAAAAAAGGCTGTGACCCTGTTGTGCTGAGAGCTATAGCAAGGAGCACAGTGATGTTTAGACTGTAGAAGTGGAATACACAGCTGCAAGAGAGGCCTGGAGAAAGAACAATCTACACCAGCCTCACAGCACTTTCTATGACCTATGAAGCACCATTGCTCATAGTGGAAACCAGGGCATGAAGGCTGTGGAACAAGGGACGCAGTGTTTCCACAATGCAATAAGTGGCAATACTCACAAGGATGTGATTTACCTCCCAGTTCTGCTTCAGATGAGTCCTTAGTAGAGTCAACTAAATCACTCACACTTCTACACATATCCAGTGAAGGCAAATATCCTTTCCATGCCCACCGAACATGACTTCTTCCCCTATGCCCTTGCACTTCACTGAAAGAAGTAATCTTTTTCTTTCCTTTTGTCTTTGTTACCTTGAGATACTTTCTGATTTCAAGTGGGTTTTTTTAAAGACTACCGTAACTGTCTCATGGACATTAATACTTTGCTCCAGACATTCGACATATAACGTAGAATGAGAAAAACTGGAATCCTGAAAACTTACCAGTAAACTACATGAAGAAATTACATTATCCCTATGTTTTAATTCAGGAACAGACTCTCATTTAAACTGAAGGACTTTAACATTGCCTTAACTATGGTAAAAGCACAATTTATACCTACTGGGAGGCCTTTCTCTGCTGCCAGAGCATGGGAAAGAGAATGGCATAGTTTTTTTCATATTTTACCAAAAAAAAATGCATTTCATTTAGTTAGGTGAGCTGTTCTCATCACAGGCATTCAGTAGTCATGTTTATAAATAGCTGTAGCTGACAGCATAAGAGATCTTGACTCAGCTACCACAAAAGACAATTCAAATTCCTTTGTACTACAGAAGTAGTAATTTGAGGACTGGACAGAAGGTGGGCACAGAAGACAATAACCATTCTCAGTGGTTTTCTGCTCCAAGAATGTTCTAACATGTTTACGCTGAAACATTTGCAAAACACACAACTTGGTAATGTATGGACACACAAAAGATGAAGTTCTCCAAACCTCTATACAGCAGGTGAGGATCTACCTTAGCATAGTTGCCAGTATTTGACTTTTAAAATTAAAACCGCTTATACAGATTGAAGACATTTCAGGGTCATTTACACGCTTTAGACAAGGCAGAAAACACTGCACTTTCCTGAAAATGAAATGGTGTTCAATGCTTAGCCTTTGGAGATATAGGTCTTACCTCCTCATTTTCGATTTTGAGTGTAGCCAACCGTGACTGTAGTTGTTGATACCTAAGCATAAGCTCTCCTTGCACAGGTTGCTGGGCAGTGACCTGACAAACCTAACAAAGAATGAAAAAGAACTATAAGGTGCAAGTAATTAAAAAACCCTAGTCAATAGTCTTTGGCTGCTGTCCTTAAAATGAGGTGAATTCCAGAATCACAGATTATTTGGAGTTGGAAGTGACCCACAAAGACCATCGAGTCCAACTCTTGTCCCTGCACAGGACATTCCCAAGAATCACATGTGCCTGAGAGCATTGCTCAAATGCTTCTTGAACTTTGTCAGGCTTGGTGTTGTAGCCACTTCCCTGGGGTGTCTGTTCCAGTGCCCAAATACCCTTCGGGTGATGAACCTTTTCCTAATATCTAACCTAAACCCACCCTGACACAACTTCAGGCCATTCTCTCAGGTGCTGTCACTGGTTGCCAGAGAGAAGAGATCATTGCCTGTGCCTTTGCTTCCCTTAACAGGACGTTGTATAGAGTGATGAAGTCTCCCCTCAGTCACTTCTTCTCCAGGCTGAACAGACCAAGTAATGTCAGCCACTCCTTGTATGGCTTCCCCTCAAGACCCTTCACCCTCTTTGCACAGTCTCTAATAGCTTCATCTTTCTTATATTGTGGTGCCCAAAACAGCACACAGTATTCAAGGTGAGGCCACACCAGTGCAGAGTGGAGAAGGACAATCACCTCCCTCGACTGGCTGGCAATGCCTGCCTGAAGCACCCCAGGACACGGCTGTCCCTCCTGGCACCCAGGACACACTGTTGACTCATATTCA